TATATATATATATATATATATATATATATATATATATATATATATATATATATATATATAAAATGTTACTGTTTTAATAATCTAATTCGTCCAGCAAATAATTGAGTGATGAAGGAGAATTTGGGTAAAGTATTTATTAGTAATTTTTTTCAAAAAGGTATGCAATTACTTTGTAAAAACAAAAGTAATTAACAGCACAAAACCTCTGTAGTAAGACCAAAAAGCTTTAGGTCACAGACAATCATAATCAGAAAAGATAGTAGGTAGGTAGCCTTGTAATTAGTGAAATCAGGACCACCTATAATGTAGAGTGATTTTATTTTGTGTGTCACACAATCTGGGAGCCACCACACAAAATAAAAATTTTCTATAATGTAAGTCGGTGTACTTTTGTTGTTTTTTGGAGTTTCGGAATCTGTGGCTAAAACCTCAAACCCCTGTTTGTGTAAAAATGGGGAGGATATTTGTGGTGGATCTTCAAGGCACAACTTACAATTGCAAATTCTGCAAAACCCAACTTGCCCTTTCTGATGACCTTGTTTCCAGGGTAAAGTCCGCCCTCTTTGTACCCTCTATATTTTGGCTACAACTTAAATTCTTAGCTTTTTTATGTTCCTTATTGCAAATGTTACTACCTGTTTCTGCTTAATTTAGAAAGTTTTAAATTCCAGGAAGTGGTTAAAGATTTGGCCTTTCCAATGATGACCTATTGAACACTGCTTTTGATTAGAACTAAATTGCAGATTCTTCTCTGTTCAAGCTGACAGTTCCATTTTTCGATGCAATGTAGAAGCAGGAAAAATTAGCTGAAACTTCTTTAACTCTAACTCAACAACTTTTCTATCTCCTTGTTTAACTGTCAGCTTATTTGCTTTGCCGTGGTATATTGCCTGAGAAAATTGCTTTTGAGTTGAATTTTGCTGCATAAGTTGTACTGTAGTACTTAAATTTGCATGGTTAATTATGTCTGATGAAATCTCCTTTATGCTATTTGGTCAGGCTTTTCATTGCCGAAGGGGAAAAGCATACCTATTCAGTAATGCGTGAGTGCCTTTGAATTATTTTTTAACTTTGGATTGATACCAAGTCACTCTTGTTCTATGAGTGAATATGTTATTCTTACAATTTAATTTTTGATAACCTTGTTTTATTCTTCTTTTGTTTGGGGGGTGGGGTGGGGGGTGGGGGGGGGGGTTATGAAATTACTTGTTGAGAAAAGGATGATAGCAAAGTACAAGGGGAGTTTGAAGTTTAACCAAAAATGTACATATAGGAAAAAAAGGATATTGTAAAGAAATGAGCTTGAAACATATAGGAGCTTTTCACATTTGAGTTAAGTTTCAATGGCTCACAAGCATCAGCTAGTTATTATGTGCTTTTGAGCATGACGATTTGGCTTAGCCACATTTTCACACAATCGCTTGTACCATTTTTTGTTTGCCCTGGTGGTGTAACGTACTGACGCGCCACATTCAAGGGGAGGTGACGTGGTGCATACTATTTGCAGATGATATTATATTGATTGATGAGACACGAGGCGTTGTGAACGCGCAGTTAGTTGTTGAGAAAAGGATGATAGCAAAGTACAAGGGGAGTTTGAAGTTTAACAAAAAATGTACATATAGGAAAAAAAGGATATTGTAAAGAAATGAGCTTGAGGCATATAGGAGTTTTTCACATTTGAGTTACGTTTCAATGTCTCAAAAGCATAAGCTAGTTATTATGGGCATTTGAGCATGACGATTTGGCTTAGCCACATTCACACAAGTGTTGGTCGCTTGTACCATTTTTTGTTTGCCCTGGTGGTGAACGTATTGACGCGCCACATTCAAGGGGAGGTGCCGTGGTGCATACTATTTGCAGATGATATTGTATTGATTGACGAGACACGAGGCGTTGTGAATGCGCAGTTAGAGGTATGGAGGCAGACTCTGGAGTCTAAAGGTTTGAACTTGAGCAGGACCAAGACAGAATATTTGGAGTGTAAGTTTAGTGGTGAGACTCAAGGAGGGAAGGGGAGGTGTGGTGAGGCTGGACTTGCAGGTCAACCCTAGGAGAGGAAGTTTTAAGTACCCTGGGTCTATTATTCAGGGGGATGGGGAGATTGATGAAGATGTCACACATCGTATTGGGACGGGATGGATGAAATGGAGACTCGCTTCCGGTGTTTTGTGTGACAAGAAGGTGCCACCGAAACTTAAAGGTAAGTTCTATCGAGTGGTGGTCAGACCGACGATGTTGTATGGGGCTGAGTGTTGGCCAGTCAAGATTGCTCATGTCCAGAAGATGACGGTAGCAGATATGAGGATGTTGAGATGGATGTGCGGGCATACCAGGTTAGATAGGATTAGAAATGAGGTTATTCGCGACAAGGTGAGTGGCCCCTATTGAGGACAAGATGCGGGAAGCGCGGCTTAGGTGGTTTGGTCATGTGAGGAGGAGGAGCACAGACGCCCCGGTGAGGAGGTGCGAGAGGTTGACATTGGAGGGCCTACGGAGAGGTAGAGGTAGGCCAAAGAAGAGGTGGGGAGAGGTGATTAGGCAAGACATGGCGCAATTTCAGCTGACCGAGGACGTGACCCGTGATAGGTTGGTATGAAGGTCGAGAATTAGGGTAGTAGAGTAGGTAGTCTTGAGTGTGCATAACAGTAGTATTGGCACGCAGTCTCTCTTTCTGTTGGTAGTAGGTTTTTATGATTAACCGTGATTTTCTTTCATTGTTGATACCTTACTATCTTGCTGTTTTTATTCTGCTTTTATATGGCTTTTTGGTGCTGTCCCTTCTTGTCTATACAACAACAACAACAACATATTCTTCTTGTCTATATTTTCATTAATGTGGTACTTATGTTTTCCTCAGCCGAGGGTCTATTGAAAATAGTCTCTCTATCCTCACAAGGTAGGGGTAAGGTCTGCGTACACATTACCCTCCCCAGACCCCACAGTGTGGGATAATACTGGGTATGTTGTTGTTGTTGTTGGTCGCTTGTACAAGGTTGCTACATATTACATGTTCAACATGTATGTTTGCATATCTTCTTGCCCATCTATCTTCAAGAATTGGGCTTCCCTCGATGCCTACAAATATAGTTCAAGTGTTCATTATTGAAGTAATTAGTTGTCCATATTATTGGGCTATCAACCTAGGAAGTCAAAATGAAAGATAATGTAGCATGCTGGATTGAATTCTGTACTTCTATTGCGTAGTTGCTGTGTGTAGGATGAGTTTTTTTAGTGGCTGTAGTTGGTAGAAGATCACTTTGCTTCCTTAAAGATGTAGCTATTTTTAAAGCCTATTTTCTGATAGGAAGCTAAGATGAATCGTCTTTCAGCTCAAGCTGGTTGTTCAATTAAGGGTGGAATGAATTAGTTTATGTTAGGATTGGGAAGCGATCTCTTTCCAATGACGGTTTATTTTGAGAACTCCAAATTTTCAGATTCACATCAAAGACATCTAGTTCAATGATCTTCTTTATTTTGCCTTCTTCATGGTGCAATATATGTGTGTTGTTAGCACCAATTTTTTAGTATTTTTATTTTCCTTTGCAGCCCGATCATATTAATTTTCTCCTCCAGTATATGTGGAAGTTTCACCTTTCTGTCTGTCTATGATTCAGGGTGAATATAACTTTTGGACCTCATGAGGAGAGGATGATGCTTTCTGGAATGCACACAGTAGCAGATATATTTTGTTGTTGTTGTGGGCAGATTGTTGGCTGGAAATATGTAATTTCTCTTCTTCCTTCTACTTCTTTGTTCCCTCTAATCCCCTCTTGTTGGCACTGACGCAGAGTCAAAACACATGAGCATGGGAATACACACAAAAATAAAATGGAGGGAAACGGTCCCTCCTGCATTTCATACATACGTTCTGTTGTGCAGATAAATAATATACACACACTGCCAGTGTAAAGATTTGTTACACTATCACTGCACTTTAATCTATCGTTGTAGGTAACCTGCCTAATTTTCATGTACATATAGTTATCTTTTAGGTAATCTGATAGTGTAAAAGTTCTTTTACTCTGTAATGTATTTAAACTCAAACAATATACATACACTGATAGTTTTGCTAGACTTGTTAACGACTAGTATTTGGTGCATCTTCCACACAGGAGGCAGCCCATGAGAAAAGCCAGAAGTATAAAGAGGGGAAATTTGTCCTTGAAAGGTTCATTTCTCTCTTTTAAAATTATTATGTTCATTGGCATTAACATTTGCACCTTAAAAATGGTATTCACACTTTCAATGTTCCCTATATAACATTTATCTGCTGTTGATAATGTTTGTGAACAGAGGCAGGATTATTGATGGAGTTGACTCCGAGTTCTATATTGATACTCGTCCAAGCATGAGTGATGCTGAAGACGCATAACCTTGGTTTTCCGTCGTACCTAAATACAAAAATGATAATTCTATGGTTGTATCTTGTAGGACTTATCCAAAGAACTATTGTATCTTGTCGAAGATCTCCGCGAGTTTGTGGATATAGAAATGAAGTTGCTGCATAAGTTGTTTCTTTTATATGTATGGTTCATTAAATAAGTAGTTGTACCACCAGTCAATCCGATGTCTATCTCTAATGGTGTGATTTGGGTTTCTGGCCATGAGTGATGACTGTCAATTCTGCCTTGAGGCGTGAATAGGAACCTAAAATTTGGAGTTAATCCTAAGTTCTTGAGATGCATTTAATCTATGGATACGCCAGTCAAGTGGTCTGGAATGTATGCTTTCTGTTTTTGTATGAGTTGGAAGGTAAGGGAATGTCGAGCCTATTACGAAGAATTCGAAGGTTTCATCCGCTGATAGTGATAAAATCCCATCAAACTAGCCTTCCTCATAATGGAAATAGCAATAATGTTTTTTTCGTTTTAGGTATTGATTGATCGATTAAAAAGAGTAAACGTGAAAAAATAAACAAGTACATACGTTACTTTATCCTCAAGTTTTACCATGGATATCAATCTTTCGAAGAATTATTATAATCACTTATGGCCAGATGGCTATTGCTTATAATAGAGAAAAGAATTACAAGAAAATACACGTGCTTCACATCATAATAAAAAATGGCCCATATTTTTAAGTTTTACCCGGCCTAATTCATATTGTAAATATTTTGAAAGCACTAGTAAAAGCATTCGCTGACAAACCTTATTTTAAAATCCGTTTTCTTACGACCACTACTTTTAAAAGCTATAGAGTTAAATGTAGTTGGTCAAGTTACCCATTTCGTTTGATGTCACGATAAGAAAAACTTAATAGTGTATAATATTGTATAATAGTGTATATGGGTGTATAAATACCTCTTATACAGTTTTATACACCTTTATACAAGCATCTGTAGACGAGCTTCTTTCACGAATTTCAATTGTAATTCTTGTTCAAAACCAATCCAAATCTCCATTAAATGACTTCAAATTTTATATACAACCTCTTTATACTATTTCTAACAAGTTTAACTAACACCCAAGTCTAAATTTCTCACAAGATCAGATTTGAAATTTAAACCCATTTATTTAAGTTTGTTCAACAATGGTGGACCAATCTAAATCTTCATTAAATGACTTCAAGTTTTGAATACAACCTCCTTATACTATTTCTAACAAGTCTAAACAACATCCACTCCAAATTTCTCATAAAGATAGATTTAAAATTTTATCCCACTTATTTAAGCTTGTTCAACAATGGTGGATTATCTTAAAAATCTAATTTTTACCACCCAAATAGATTTGGTTTGTTGAACTAATGTTTGTGTCACAACTACTAATTCGAAGAATAGATTAAAAGCTTGAGCATTCTAAAAAAAAATTAAATAGTAATTTCGAGAACCTATTTGGAGTTGGATGTTGAATCTTAGCCTATTATTTTTGGGCTACAACTTTGCAAGTTAAATATAGGATACTTAGTTGCAATGTATATATGTGAGTTGTATTTATGTGTAATTCCCTAATTATAATACTACTATTGCTTATAATACCACTTCTACCCCCTTATAGTTGAAGAAAGAAAATTTTCGACTAAACATTTGAAATGTATTACGTTGTTTCTTTGAGAAGGAAAAATTGTAAAACTTATAACATTGCTTATTAAAACAATTTTCAGCAATTGATTTCAACACATATATGACTTTTGACTGAGAGTCGATTAAATTGACATTGAAAAGAAAAAAAAAAAAGAAGAGAAAGGTACAAACTTGTTCTCAATACCGTTGAGAATTGGGTTTTAATGATTGAAAAATTATGTCCAATGAACATGTGCTAAGAACCAGGTTCTCAAAGTAACCGTTGAAGGTTCCTACAAGACGGTAACTTTTACACAAGGTTACTACAGTCCAATATTACAGGAAATGACTCTTGTTGCAATAAGGACTGTTGCCCAAGAATATCTACCTGCATGTGTCACAAGATTCATGGAGTCCTTAGAACTTCAGGATTGCAAGCAACCGGGAGTTTGACTGTGTGTAGGACTCCCAAAGCTCTTAGAGTACGGGGAAGTTAAATGCTTCCTATGGATTGTGAAGACCATCCTTTTGCACATCAACAGACGTAACATAACATTTTCAGTTCAACACTCAAGTCCATCATTAGTGTGTTCTGAAAGCCACCTTTCTCGAGTTTGTTTAGTTCATGGGTATTAGGAGATTGAGTTGTAATCAAGATGTTATTCAAAACATGTTAGTTGGAGTACTGTTTGAGTGTGCAAGTTAGAGTAACTTGTAATTCATTCAAGAAGTAGAAGTAGGAGAATTGTGTGGGTATTGATTTACAAGTCTTGTAATCAATACATTTGGCTCATTTGTTCTATTGAAGTTGAAGTTAAAATCAAACGTGGTAGGTCGTAATTTTTGCACTTTTGAGGCGGGTGATTTTTCATGTAAAAATTGATATTCTTATTTTTACTATTTATTTTATTTACGCGTAAGGAGTAAGATAAAGAACCGAGTTCTTTAGTAATTTAGGAATGTACTCAAAATAACAATTGGTTTTAGAGCGGGTCCTCTCAAACGTGGTTAACACCTAGAGAGATCTTGGAAGAAAATGAGTGCTCCACGTGGAATCAAAGAAGGACAGTCAACTATCAGACCACCTCTGTTTAACGGAAAATACTACAGTTGGTGGAAGGCAAGAATGGAGGATTTCTTAATGGCTGAGGACTATGAACTATGGACAACAGTGAATCGAGGATCACTAACTCCCACCAAACAAAATGGAAAAAATAAAAATAATCCTAAATACCCTTCTGAATTTGTGGCGGCAGACTTCAGGATGATAGAAAAGAATGCAAAAGCGAAGAAGATTCTCATCTATGGACTTGGTTCTGATAAGTATAACAGGATATATGCCTGCTCCAATGCAAAGGAAATCTGGGATGCACTTCAAACTGCTTATGAAAGAACCACTCAAGTGAAGAGATCGAGAATTGAGTTGCTCATGAGAAACTATGAGCTCTTCTCCATGAAGGAGTTCGAACATATTCAGAAAATGATGACCAGGTTCACTATCATAACAAATGAATTAAAATCATTGGTAAAGCTATTTACCTCTGAGGAACTGGTCAACAAGGTTATAAGGATTCTCCTTGCATCATGGGAATCAAAAGTCACAGCCATTCAGAAAGCAAAGGAGTTTGACAAGATTTCACAGGACGAGTTGATTGGAAACTTAAAGACTCATGAGATGAGAAATATGTAACTGTGGAAGGAGTAACCAAAGAGGTATAAGACACTGCTTCTTAAGGTGTCTAAAGAAAATGAGTCTGACAATGTTTGCTAGGTTCAAAAGGTTCATGAAGAACTCCAAGAATGCACCTTAAAGAGAAAGCAATGGAAAACCTAAGCAGATTGACAAGTCTTCTTATGATGGGTGTTACAAGTGTAACAAACTGGACCACATGGTCAAAGATTGTCCAATGTGGAAAACTGAATGGAAGAATGGAAGAGATGAAAATGAAAAAAGCGACAAGATGAAAGAGCAAGGTCTAAACAAAGGCAAAATTCTAGGCAATGGATTCACTAAGGCCATGAAACAAGCCTTCCTAGCAGCATATGAAGATAGTGAAAGTGACAAAGGGGAAGAGAAGAAAGACGAGGCTATTAGTCTTTATGTTGTAATTGATTCACTCAAGGGTGTTGAAGTTGAGCCCCCTGTACAGCTAGGAATGCACATTGGTAGACACCCTCTTTTTTATGGGCACCACTACGATGAATGAAAGATGCATATGGATGTGACTGAAATACTAAAAAGAATTGAATAGGAAGATACTTGCTAACACTGATGAAAAGGGTATGGCTCAGTTGGTAGAAAAGCTTGACTTGCAGGGATAGACACACATGTTTGTCAAAGCCTTTCCCCTTGTATGTGTACCTGCAGTGGTTGAATTCTATGCCAATTTTTAGTTTGACAGCAAAGTGGTGAAGAGGTCTATGAGAGAGTTTGAGTTGAAGTTTGATGCTAAAGAGATTGGGTTGCTGATGAACATTCCCTCCCTGGGATTTGACAACTATTTTAAGAAGAAATGGCTTGCAGTTAACAATGATATGGACACAGGCATAGTGGTTACCAAAAAGTTTTTCCAAAAGTTTGAACTAAATGCTCTTCAAAAGGTGTATAAGACTGATATAGTATATTTTCATAGGTTTTTATTCCATTTTGTGAACTCCTGCATTCTGCAGAGGTATGAGAGGAGGCATGAGGCCACCTTGCTTGACATGGATGTGATGGAGCTGTTGGACACATGCAGGGCCATCAACCTTCCTAGCTTGATGATTTAACATATGGCAAGTGATGCAGACACCACTAAGCCCAAGCATGGTATTCCCTATGGCGTAATGTTAACTGAGTTGATTGACAAGCTCAATATCTCACTGTCTGAGCTGAATTTTCACAATCACAATGAAGTTTTAGATGTTGTCATGCTCAAGAAGTGTGGCTATGCTGAGATCAAGTGTAGAGGTCCAACTAGTGCTGCTATCTTGCCTGGGAGCAACGTGGCTTCTAAACTCTCTAAAAGGTTGGAGTTTGCTTTGGAAGAAAATGCTAAGCTCAGGGAGGACAATGATGAACTACAGAAGGAAACCAGGCACCTCAGGGAGGAGCTGAGAAAAGACAGAGAGGATCATGCACAACAGATTGCCACTCTTATGAAGGCCTTGATCCCCTCCACATCTCACCCTTGATCTTGGTCCTTAACCCCTTGTCTTGTGTCTGTTTCTAGTTTGCTCAGTGGTGCTTTGTCTTTTGTTTTTCCTATCAAGTTCTGAGTAGTATGCAGGAAGTTTTAGTTTTTTTTGTTTCAATATCTTAGATCAAGCCCTAGGTTTAATTTGGTACTACTTAATGAATTCTCTTATGTTGTTTCCATGCTTCTCATCTAGTCTCTATCATTAGCATAGTTCATTTGTCTTGATTTTTCTTGTGCTTATGTTGTAGCCTCAATGGTCATGAATCTTGCATTAATTGATTGCTAAGTCTGTCGCACAGTTATTTTGATTTTTTTCGATAATGCCAGAAAGGGGAAGATATCATGGGAGGGGGGGAGATGTACTTGTTCTGTTCAAAGTTTGTTTTGTACAATCTGTTGTTGTTCTCAACTGTGATGCTGTGTGTATGCTTAAAAATGCCAGCACATGGTTCGTAAGCACAAAGTTTGTTATCATCAAAAAAGAAAAATTTGTTGAGAATTGGATTT